TGATGTTCGACATCCTTCTTGAAAAATCCGCAAATTTGGCGAAGTTCCTTAACCTTCCACCGAAGTTTCATGTTAGTAGGGTGTGGTTAGTGCGAGCGTTGCTTCGCATGGGAATGGCATCGTACATTCGCAAAGGAGAAGCTTTGGATGCATGCGGCGAATCCATTACGCTAGCACGGGAAAATTTACCCAAACTTCTCTCCGTCTTAAGGTACGAATCAATGGACGTGTACAACATGGACAAAACCGCCTTCTTCTATGGCCAACAACCTAGACGAACCTACGCGAACGGGAGCGTCTCGGGTGGGCGTTTAAGTAAGGACAGCGTAACCCTTGACGTTTGTTGCAACACCGATAGGAGCGACTTCATGATACCCATCATAATTGGCAAGGCCCAAAATCCCCGCTTGTTTCGCAACTTCTACGTGTATGATTTTGTGATGTACCGTGCAAACAAGAAGGGGTGGATGACGTCACAGGTAATCTTCAGCTTCACAATGCGCGTCTTATTTGTCTTGTTTTGGCACGCTTTCATATTTTCTCCCAATATATTTTGTGACGAATGCCCAAATGGAGAGAGCCCAACGACGCATTGCCACATTGTGGACAACGGAAGCTCTTAGAAGGTGGTCGGTAATGTTCGTGTTATCTACCTACCTCCCAATTGCACCTTCCACGCCCAACCGCTAGACCAAGGCATCATTTCAACCGTGAAGACGTGATATCGTAAATTTCTCGTGTCATGGTTGATAGCAATGTTTGAGAACGTAGACAACCCCGATGAACAGAATGATTTGAAGCCGGAGCTCCGCACCGCGATAGTGTGGATGTGTGGCGTGTTGCTCAACATCGACAAAGAAGTCATTCGACGTTGTTGGCGTCGATCGGGCATCGTGCCATTCTCGTGGTTGGAAGATTGGGGCCTCACGACAATCTTCCAAGGGCCACTACGAGACCCTCCCCGCGAAGATGTAATGGCACTAACGACGCTCATTCGGAACCTACGAATTCACAGTGACTTGATGACGGGCCCCGAGTTTCTTCTCGTCGACCGTGAAATGCAAACAAATAAGGAGGGGGAGGAGGAAGCGGCGGAAGTGCGGCGGAGTTGGTGAATCCTTGGTCCCCACTCGGGCGGCTTTCCCTTTGATTTGAACGACGCGCTGAATGTGGAGGGTGGGCGCTCGGCAACGGCAATTAACGCTGCGGTGAATGCATTGGAGAACTGGAGTACAGACATCCGTCTTGCACCGTACATCTTACGCGCGATTCGCCGACATGGCCACGACGATTTCCGCTCGCCTCTGTTTGAAGATAACCTTGAATGGGCACTCGCGGGGTTGTGCAAGTGAGAAACTGCGGTGCATTTTAAGTCTACACATTTCTTTGTTTCTATTGTGGGCACTTCTGGAATGATGTTTTTGTGTGAATGAAGTCTCTGGTTTTGCTGGTTTTATTTTGCTATTTTCTTTGACATTGTGAATGGTAACTACAGTATTTTGTGCTTCAGTTTCTTGTTTATTCAACTCTGTTTCAATCTTTGACTGTTTCCTCCTTGCTGGTTTATATGAATACTCTTGTGTTGCACTGAGCTAATCGAGCTGTATAGTTTCCAGCTTGGCGCGTACTGTGAATAAATGAGGAATGAAGAAGAGAGAGGTTGCACTAGCAGCAGTTGGCATACATATAGGAAACCCTAATTGGGTTGTACTCGCTATAGAGTACCCCACTGCAGGCTAGACAATTATAACATTCTGACACACCCCCATAGCCAAAGTCGGGTGTAATCAGCACAATGAGCAAGCAGGCAGAGAGCAGGAGTTCACAATAGCGAGCAAAGCTAGAGTTAATCACAGCGGGCAAGTGAGGAGGAGGAGGAACTGTGGAGGGAGAGAAGATGGGAGGCAACGACTGAAGCTGCAGAGGCACGGGCACAGGAGCGGCTGACTCAGTGGCTACCGAAGCAAGGGCGACGGACTACTGGAGTAACTGGCTCCGCGGCTATAGACGAGCGGTAGGAGCAACGGACCCACTGGCGACTGGTGCAACAGGCTCACTGGCTACCGAAGCAAGGGCGACGGACTACAGGCGCTGCAGGCGACACGACAGCTACCTTCACACAACCTCCTCCAGCTGCCCCACACCTCTCGACACACACCCCCTGCTCAAACCCTAGTTCTACTCTCAAAGCACCCCCCTTTCACACACCCCCTGCTGCACCCTAGGTTCACTCACACCCCACCCCCTAGCACCACTCCGTCGACTCCCACACACCCACCCCCCTCAGCGGTAGCTGCAGCTGTGGGAGACAGAGGAGGAGGAGGAGCAGGGGAGACCACACACCCGCCACCCCCTACTCGCCACCCCCAAACCCTAACACAGGGCAGGGCGGGATGGCGGGTAGGGAGGTTACGGGGGGGGGGGGGCGACGCGCGGCCTCCCAGGGCGCCAAAACAGGCGGCAGAAGGGGCGACGCTCGCCCCCCCCCCCCCCGGTCGCCCCTCCCGTCGCCTGTCGAGGCGACCTGAGGGGGCCGCGCGGGGGGGGGCGGTGCACGGGTCCCCGGTGCGCCGCGCCAGGCGACGGAGCATGGCCGGGGCGGGGGCGGGGCAGGGTCGGGGCAGGGCCGGGGCAGGGCCTCGACAGGGCCGCGACAGGGTCGATAGGGGTGGCGACGGGGCCGGTAGAGGCGGCGACGGGGCCGCGAAGGGCGACGGGGCCGCTAGAGGCGGCGACGGGGCCGCGAAGAGCGGCGACGGGGCCGCTAGGGGCGGCGACGGGGCCGCGAAGGGCGGCGACGTGGCCGCGAAGGGCGGCGACGTGGCCGCGAAGGGCGGCGACGGGGCCGCTAGGGGCGGCGACGGGACCGCTAGGGGCGGCGACGGGACCGCTAGGGGCGGCGACGGGGCCGCGAAGGGGCCGCGAGGGGCCTGGAAGGGCGGCAACGGGGCCGCGAAGGGGCCGCGAGGGGCCGAGAAGGGCGGCGACGGGGCCGCTAAGAGTAGCACACAGAGTAGCAGCGGAAGCAGTTAGGTGGGCCCACAGGCCAGGAGCGTAGATGCTCTGATAGCATGTGAATAAATGAGGAATGAAGAAGAGATAGGTTGCACTAGCAGCAGTTGGCATACATATAGGAAACCCTAATTGGGTTGTACTCGCTATAGAGTACCCCACTGCAGGCTAGACAATTATAACATTCTGACACGTACTGTACATTTCCACTTTACAGTCAGCAGAATCACCACATTATCTTGAGTTTGAAATTAGCGATTCGCCACATTATCTTGGGCTCGAAAGGAGTTATGGCTGATGAAGGAGAGTGGAGATATGACTGAAACGATTGAAGTTGAGAGCGAGCTGAGTAGTTGTCTAGGGAAGAACGTAGCAGAGGATGTAGACGGGCATCCAATTGTAACGAAACAACATCGCTTTCACAACTACATAGAAGGCATATGTTTCGGTGTAAGAGCACGCACTAATATGGTCCGTTTTCATAAACGATAAGCTTTTTTTCTATAACTCCTGTTGTAGCTCCTCCTCTACAGTCCCCTTGTAGGCGGCCCAGACTATACAGTAACAAGCTTGATTACATGTGCGTCGTGTACAGGATGTGCGAATCAAGCTCGCGAAACCCCTGCGATACTGGGGGCCACATCATTCCCTCCAGATTTTGTTTCATGCGCCAAGTATGATGAATCGTACCCCTCAAAGTAAACGTGGCGGGGCATAGGTGACTTCGAAACCAGCGTTGACTAAGGGTTACTTCAGCGCCGAGTTCGTTTCTTACTTTCGGGCACCGTAAACTGTCGTATGATCCCTCCATCTGCGCACAATGGCTCCAGTTCCGAGGCGCACTTGTATCCTACTCGTTACGTAACAGGCCATCTGCGAGCATTTTGCTCAAAACCCCCACCTTCGACACGGAGATTTGTCCTGCTGGTGCAACACCAGATTCGGAATCCTGCCTGACTGAAGCACCATTGGGAAAATTCTATGTGGCGAGAAGAGGCGGCGCACCGCGACAATGCTCCAGGGCCGTAGCTACCGTCTTCGCCATCCAAAGCCCCCCCAGCTCGAATGCGAACTTCTCTCCTGGGTTCGTAATGCTTGCAAGGCTGGTGTTCCGCTTATGCTGAAATTGATTCAAGAGAAAGCACAATCATTACGTTGTGAATTAGACATTAACCCGCGCTTCCAATGCTCACTTAGTTGGGTCCATCGCATGATGCATCGGATGTGTTTTTGAAACCTGATTCGCGCGGGAGAGGCTGCAGTTGCTGACATGCAGGCAGTAACAAGTGCGTGGCTGTGGATTCCGGAGTTAATCACGCATGCTGGAGTGGCACCGAAGGATATTTTCGACTTCGACTAGACGACATTATTTCCGGCGTGTCAGCCATGAAAATCATGGGCGAAGGAGGCTCTTGTCGGTAGGAAAACTACTTAAGACCGCGTGGCGGTCGCATTCCTGTGCAATGCGGATGGCTCGTCAACGTTTTGTCAAATTATAATCTCCAAAGTGCGCCATTCCCGCGACTTCAACAAGAACGGGCTTGAACTTGAGACATACGTCTATTGGGTCCCGCAATGCGACGTCCACCTGGGCAAGCATCGCTTGACCGCCATAGTTGATTCCGATGCATCCCAACCTCCAAGATATTGCGATAGAATACACCACCTCTAGCAGCGAGACGTCGAAGCCATGGGGAATCCTGCGTGACGTACCGGTACGTGTGGAGAAGCTGACTCTCCCAATTGACATAGCGGTAACAGGAGCAAATACCTATGATATGCTACTAGGACAAAACTGGATTTATTCGGCTAATGCGGATATCCTGACCAGCAAGGGGCAGATAGTGTATCGTGTTAACACAAAAGAGACAGACGCGGTACCTATCACAACTAGGCCCGTGGGCACGGGTAGTCGCCCCTCCTATGTGTCCCTCCCGCCCCACATACCCCGCAGTAATGATTATAAGCCTTCTCAACACTGGTCCGGAATGATCGAGGAAAACTTACAGCGGCGGTTGGAGGAGAAGCAGCTCCTCCTGGCTGAAGAGCAGGGGCATATCCGGCTGACGGAAGAGGAGGAGGCGGACTATTGGGTGTGGGTGCAAGTGGGAGAAGAGGTGGATCGGACAGAGCTGGAGGCATTGGAACTCAAGGAGAGTGAATTCTATGAAGGGCTCGAGACAGACGAGCTCGATGGCGTACCTGAGGGAGGTGAGCCAGAAGGAGAAGTCGAGACGGATGACGATATGCCTAGCCTCTTCGGGTCCGACGGGGAACGTTACTCTGACTTTGAGGCAACGGATGTGGATGAGCAGGCTGGGGAATTACAGTGGACCATGGGGTATGGGGAGGTCAGGGAGGATGTGGAAGCAAAAAGGGAAATCACGGACTAGTGGGAAGTGGATTCAATAACGGATGGAGAAGAGTAATTGGTGGCGGTCATGGAGGACGGGGGCCAGCATACGGGGGAAAGGGGCACCAAATTAGTCCGGACTACCTGTTTGAGCTGTTCAACTACTCGGCAGCTCAGCAATGGCAATACATAGCTGCTACAAAAGGGGACAAGGGTTGGATAGTCCTTGGCACTTTTTACAGCATCAAAAAGGAAGCCCCTAGAGTCGCCTACCCTGCCTTCGAGGACTTGCCGGTATCGCTCAACCACGAACTGGGGACGGACCAGCAGACAGACTTGAGGAAACAGCTGAAAGAATACCAGGAGGTCTCCATCATATTGCCACTAGGTATGCCTTACCCATTTCCCACAAACCGTACTGTGTGTCCCCCTCAGAACGAGCTCGGATAAAAGAGGAGGTAACGACCCTCTTAGAACAAGGAGAGATCCGACCCTCCAACAGCCCCTGAGCCTCCCCCTGCATTGTTATCCCGAAGAAGGACTTTGGCGATCGAGTGGTGATCGATTACCGGCCCCTCAACGCGGTGACGAAAACAGCGGACCAGTTCCTTATGCCGAGGATCGACGACATCCTCGACCGAATGACAGGGTCCCTTTACTTCTCTGTCCTCAACGTCAAGTCGGCTTACCATACCATCCCGGTGGCCGAGGAGGATATTCCTAAGACCGCATTCGTAATTTCCTCCGGCCAGTATGAGTATGTAAGGGTGCCATTTGGTATGGAAAATGCAACTGCCACTCTCCAACGCCTCATGACCACCACATTCCGCACTCACCTCAATGCCATCCCATACCTCGATGATATTATAGTGTCTTCCAACAATTGGGAGGAGCATTTGGAGCATCTGCGAGATGCTTTTGAACGTGTGAAGGCCAACCACCTATTCCTCAAAGCCAACAAATGCGAACTGGGGTTCTACTCCACGATCTACTTGGGGCACATCTTGACTCGGGATGGGGTGAAGCCGGATGCTGGAAAGGTGGAGGCGATCAGTAATATGACGGCGCCAGTGGATGTGAAGGGGGTCCGAGAATTCCTGGGGTGCACCAGTTACTGTTGACGGTTTATCAAGGGGTATGCAAAAGTGGCGCATCCCCTCACGCAACTGCTGCACAAGGACCATCCGTTTGAGAGGACGGATGCATATGAGCAAGCATTTAATGCTCTCAAATTGGCCCTCATTTCCCCACACATCCTCGCATTCCCAGATTTTTTTTAGCCCTTTATCCTCCAAACGGACTTCTCTGCTATGGCCTTGGGGGCCATCCTAGCTTAAAAGGATGGAAAGGGAGTGGCGTATGCTAGCCGTACAACAAGGGGAGCAGAAAGGAGCCTATCTTCCACCCACGGAGAATGCTTGGCGGTGGTGTGGGCCATCAAGCATTTCCGACCCTATCTCTATGGGAGCCGATTCCGGCTGCAGACCAACCACCAAGCCCTCGAATGGCAAATGACGGCCAATGACTTACGAAGTTGGCCAGGTGGTCTACTCCTTTGGGAGTACGACTTTACCATTTCCTACCGACCTGGGGAAACACACCGGAATGTGGATGCACTTAGCCGCATGCATCAGGGGTTGCATCAACCGTCCTGGGGGAAGGCATTCTCACATGCACACTCACATCCCTTGTCCCCCACCACAAAACCCATCCCCATGTTCACAAACCTATTCTCGCAATCAACCCCACCGCCAACAGCGGGTGAAGGGAGCAGCAGCTCGGTTGAAGGGGAAGGGGAAGAAGGGGATAGTGGTGAGCAGGAAGGAGGAGCGGATGCCCGCGAGCCGGAGGAGATGAGTAGCAACACGGTGAAACGGGAAGGGGAAGAGGAAGGAGAAGTCGGACAAGCCGAGTCCGAGGAGTCCGAGGAAGGGGACAGTGGTGAGGAGGAGGAGGGATCGGAGGAAGAAGGTGTCAAAGTATATGCCTGTTATATATGTGTAGGCTTTAGTGGGGTAGCCAATATGGGGTACAGCCCCAAAAAGGGTTTCATACTTGTACCCACCTCTTTCATAGTTCATTCATTCCTGCTGCTAGATTCTGACATGGTTTCAGAGCACTAGGTCCGTAGGACCGGTTTTTTTTTCGGGCCCACCTACTGTTGCGGTTACCGCGCTACCCCACATGTTGTCCTGCGCCTGCCTGCCCTGCCTTGTGACGTGCTGCGCTGCGCGCGCCGTCCTGCAGCCCTCGCGCTACCTCCTGCTGCCCTAGGCCAGCGCGCCACCCGTGCAGGCCCGTACGGCCCGTGCGCCGCCCCTGCAGGCTCGTAAGGCCCACGCGCCGCCTCTACAGGCCCGTAAGGCCCACGAGCTGCCCCTGCAGGCCCGTCAGGCCCACGAGCCGCCCCTGCAGGCCCGTCAGGCCAGAACGCGGCCCCGCCGTGCCTCTGACGCGGCCGCGCCCAGCCTCTGACGCGGCCGCGTCCTGCCTTCGTCGCGGCCACGCCCTGCCTTCGACGCGGCCGCGCCCTTCCTCTGACGCGGCCGCGCCCTGCATCACGCGGCCCTGCCCTACCTCTAACGCGGCCGCGCCCAGCCACTGACGCGGCCGCGCCCTGCAGCCAGCGCGGCCCCGCCCTACCTCTAACGCGGCCGCGCCCTGCCTCTGCACGGCCGCACCCTGCAGCCGACGCGCCCTGGTGCAGCCGCCCCTGGACCCTCGAGCAGCCGCCCCTGGACCCAGAGCAGCCGCCCCTGGCTCCTACAGCAGCCGCCCCTGGACCCTCGAGCAGCTGCCCCTGGACCCTGAGCAGCCGCCCCTGGCCCCTGCAGCAGCCGCCCCTGGTGCAGCCGCCCCTGGACCCTCGAGCAACCGCCCCTGGACCCTGAAGCAGCCGCCCCTGGTGCAGCCGCCCCTGGACTCCGTGCAGCCGCCCCTGGACCCCGCGACGCCGCCCCTGGACCCGCGACGCCGCCCCTGGACCCCGTGTAGCCGCCCGCCGAGTGCCGGCCCTGCTCGCCCGGCGAGCGCCTGCTCTTCCCGCCACTGGTGAGCACCTGCCTTGTTAGCGCACTGCCTGCCTGCCAGACTGCCTGCCAGCCTGCCTGCCTGCCTGTCTGTCTGTCTGCCTGCCTGCCTACCTACCTGCCTGCCGCGCCTGCCCTGCCCGCGCTGCTGCTGCTACTACTGCCACTACCACTGCTACTGCTGCTACTGGCGGTGGCCAGATGCAGCTCCAGCGACGTCCGCGCGAGTCTCTCACGCCCCAGCAGCTTCGTGAGTGGTACGCTAGTTGGGGTTGTGGTAGTAGCCGTCGTGGCTGTCGCCCTGGAGCTGGTCAGCCGGGAGCATCTGGCAGTGGCCAGCTGCAGCTGCAGCGGCGTCCGCGCGAGACACTTACGCCCCAGCAGCTTCGTGAGTGGTACGCTCATAGTAGAGGGTCTTTGAGTAACGTTCGCTGCCCGTACGTCATTCGCACAGGTGATCGGACTGGTCAGGCTTGCGAGACGCTTAGTCACACACTGTCCCGCTGCTTCGCCCGTCTGAACGAAGCCTGGCGTACCGAGTTTGGCGACGAGGCTGAGCTCCCCGACTGGGTGGAGCTGCTTGGGCAGAGGGTAGATATATTTGCTCTTGACTATGATGCTATTCTCACTGCCATGTATGCATTGCCTACTAGTGCTGACCGTGCGTGCTACCTGTGCATACCGCCTGACCCAGGTATAGAGCCTGCTGCTCTCGGTGCTGGTGAGGCTGCTGATCTAGGTGCTCGTGCGTTGCCTGCTCTAGGTGCTGGTGAGGCTGCTTCTCTAGGTGCTAGTGCGTCTCTTGCTCTGGGTGCTGGTGAGGCTGCTGCTCCAGGTGCTGGTGAGTCTGCTCTCTCTGGTACTGCGCATGCTGAGGCCTTGTACACCTTCACACTTGACTCTCGTGCTTCTCGCTCCTTCTTTCGCGACAGCACCACCCTCACGCCGTTCAGTCGGCCGGTTGCAGTCTCCCTGGCAGACCCCTCTGGGGGTCCAGCCCGTGCGACCTCCACCACTGTCCTCCCTTGTCCTGCTGTCCCGTCCGGCACACTGTCGGGTCTTTACCTCTCCTCGTTCTCTACGAACTTGGTGGCGGGTTCTGCGCTCCAGGACGCGGGTGTTCACCAGTTCACCCCTGCCTACGAGCGTGTGACACAGTCACGTGTGCTCAGACGGGTCGTCATCTGGCTACCTTCACTCGGCAGCCGGGGTCGGGCCTGTACACACTGACCACTGAGTCCCCTCAGGTAGCTGCATCTGCATCTGCGTCAGGTCTGTTGTCGGCCCCTTGCTCGTGTCGCGCCTTGTCGCACCAGACCCTCCTTTGGCACCACCGCCTTGGTCACCCCTCGGTGCAGCGTCTTCGCAGCATGCACCGCCGTGTCCTTGTCTCTGGTCTTCCCAGGGTTCTCCCTCCCCTCCCACCCTCGCCTGCTCCTCCCTGTCTTCCCTGTGTCGAGGGGCGGCAGCGCGCCGCTCCTCACTCCTCCTTGTTCCCTCCCACAGAGTCTCCCCTGCAGACTCTCCACCTGGACGTGTGGGGCCCAGCCCGCGTCCGTGGACCGGGCCACGAGCGGTACTTCCTGCTGGTCGTCGACGACTACACGCGTTACACCACGGTCTTCCCCTTGTAGCGCAAGGGGGATGTCCTTGATGTTTTGATCCCTTGGATCCGCGTTGTTCGTCTCCAGCTCCGCGAGCGGTTCCAGTCGGACTTTCCTGTCCTGCGTCTCCACTCTGACAGAGGTGGTGAGTTCTCCTCAGACCTCTTGGCAGCCTTCTGTGCGGAGCACGGCATCCGTCAGAGGTTCACGCTTCCGGCCTCTCCGCAGCAGAATGGGGTTGCTGAGCGCCGCATTGGCTTAGTCATGGAGGTCGCTCATACCTCCATGATCCATGCGGCTGCTCCCCATTTTCTGTGGCCGTTTGCGGTCCGGTACGCCGCGCATCAGCTCAACCTCTTGCCCCGTGTCTCCTTGCCGGAGACCTCGCCCACACTGCTGTGGACGGGGAAGGTTGGCGATGCGTCGCGTTTCCGGGTCTGGGGTGCTCGTGCCTTTGTCCGCGATACCACCGCGGACAAGCTCTCCGCCCGCGCTGTTCCCAGTGTCTTCCTTGGCTTTGTCCCTGACGCGCCTGGTTGGTAGTTTTACCACCCCACCTCGCGCCGTGTCTTCCCTTCTCAGGACGTCACGTTCGACGAGTCGGTTCCCTTTTACCGTCTCTTCCCCTACCGCACTGCCCCTCCCCCCCCCGCCGCTCTTCCTTGCTCCAGGTGCTCCCCACGTAGACCCCCTCCCCGCTCCCGGTCCTGCTCCTTCAGGTGTGTCTCAGGTAGACCCTCCCCCCTTGACTGCGCCGGTTGAGGTCACTGGTGACTCAGGTCCTGCTGAGGGTGGTCCTGCTCGGGGTGCTGCTTCTGGGGGTGCTGAGCCTGGGGGTGCGGAGCCTGGGGGTACTGAGCCTGGGGGTGCTGAGCCTGGGGGTGCGGAGCCTGGAGGTGCGGAGCCTGGGGGTGCGGAGACTAGAGGTGCTGAGCTTGGGTGTGAGGAGTCTGAGGGTGCTGTGCCTAGGGGTACTGAGTCTGGGGGTGCTGCACCTGGAGGCGCTGAGGCGTCTGGTGAGCAGTCTCCCTGGAGCGGCCGTCTGCGTAGTCGCTCCGCTGGTGCCTCGCCGCTGCGCTCTCATCGTCGACTCCCTCTCTCCCAACAGCAGCTGCGTGAGTGGTACGCTGGCCGTCAGGGTCGCGCTGCTGGAGCTAGGGGCCCTGCTGCGGGAGGCGCTGGAGCTGGTGACTCTGCTACTGGAGTTGTTTCTGCTGGAGGTTCTGGAGCTGCTGAGGGTGCTGGAGCTGGAGGTTCTGGAGCTGCTGCCGGTGCTTGCGCTGGAGGTTCTGGAGCTGCTGCGGGTGCTGACGCTGAGGGTTCTGAGTCTGCTGTTGTGCGGTCTCCTTGGAGTAGCTGCCTTCGTCCGCGTGTGCCTCTCACCTCACAGCAGCTGCACGACTGGTACGGTCGCCGTCAGGGTCGTGCTTCTAGAGCTCGAGGCTCTGCCGCTGGAGGTACTTCTGCTGATGTTACTGGAGCTGGGAG